CAGTATGGTTAAGCAAGGAACAAACAAGATCTATTTGTAGCTCTGTTTTAGCACACCTTGTAGATAGTCAGCATAAAATTGATGTGAATACAGAATTGAAAATTATTTATCACATTCCTACTAATCTTAATTTTGCGTTACGAGTTTGTCTTCTACATACTACAGATGAAGTCACAGGAATCCATCTGAAGAAGTCAAATTTGTGCGTGTTCAGAAGAAATCCGTACAGCTACTCTCCCTACCTTGGCCATCGTTAAATGAATGCATAAACCGGACAATTTCGTCTCTGAAGCTTTAAAAATTATAATTGTCCAAATTATTTTATTATTTCTCTAAGTACCTCATCTTTAATTACATGTTTTCATTGTCCATTTCACTTCTACCCTTTAATTATTTAAATTATCTACCTTGGTTATTATCAAACCCGTGACATCTTAATATTGACTAATTATTGTTAACAAATATACCGCCATTTGGGATGTTGGTAAACTGTTGTGTATTGTAATAAAAATGCTATGGATATATATTACAGTAGAGCCAGAAATGAGGATCTAATTGAAAAATAAGTATTTCTTGAATAAAGCAAGAACAACACATTTTGCAGAATAAAGTGGTACCATCAATACATGTTACGTTGGCTTCTCATCAGCTGCTTGCAGGCAAAAGTCTTTATTAAGTATATCTACAGAAAAATTTTAACATACTTGCACAAAGTTCATTTTAAACAAAAATCAATCAGTATTTGCATACAACAACATTAATATATATAATAATAATAAACATTTTATGCCAAACAATAAATATCATACACGGTGGAAACTTTCGACATTACGTAATCAGATGGAAGACAGGGTGAAAATATACAGTTACCAGGGCAAGGAAAGACAGATAACCGCTTCTTTCTGAACGCGTAAATCGGGTTTCAGGAGCTTGATAGAGATCACTTCGGCAAACTTAAGGAGAATTGAACTCTTTTGCCCATTGGTAATTTTGAACGTTCTTAAGACGTTCACCTCATGACATTTACATGTAGCTGCGGGAGCAGTCACATTTGAAGAACAGAAAAAGGGACATACGCCCAGTTTTCTGAACATGTACTAAAAACCCTATGTCTAAAGGAAACAAATTCTTTGAACAGTGCCATCGCCGACCATCTCCTTGACACGAGTCATGAGGTGGACGTCTTAAGATCGTTCAAAATTACCAATGGGCAAAAGAGTTCAATTCTCCTTAAGTTTGCCGAAGTGATCTCTATCAAGCTCCTGAAACCCGATTTACGCGTTCAGAAAGAAGCGGTTATCTGTCTTTCCTTGCCCTGGTAACTGTATATTTTCACCCTGTCTTCCATCTGATTACGTAATGTCGAAAGTTTCCACCGTGTATGATATTTATTGTTTGGCATAAAATGTTTATTATTATTATATATATTAATGTTGTTGTATGCAAATACTGATTGATTTTTGTTTAAAATGAACTTTGTGCAAGTATGTTAAAATTTTTCTGTAGATATACTTAATAAAGACTTTTGCCTGCAAGCAGCTGATGAGAAGCCAACTTAACATGTATTGATGGTACCACTTTATTCTGCAAAATGTGTTGTTCTTGCTTTATTCAAGAAATACTTACTTTTCAATTAGATCCTCATTTCTGGCTCTACTGTAATATATATCCATAGCATTTTTATTACAATACACAACAGTTTACCAACATCCCAAATGGCGGTATATTTGTTAACAATAATTAGTCAATATTAAGATGTCACGGGTTTGATAATAACTAAGGTAGATAATTTAAATAATTAAAGGGTAGAAGTGAAATGGACAATGAAAACATGTAATTAAAGATGAGGTACTTAGAGAAATAATAAAATAATTTGGACAATTATAATTTTTAAAGCTTCAGAGACGAAATTGTCCGGTTTATGCATTCATTTAACGATGGCCAAGGTAGGGAGAGTAGCTGTACGGATTTCTTCTGAACACGCACAAATTTGACTTCTTCAGATGGATTCCTGTGGCTTCATCTGTAGTATGTAGAAGAGATATAAGAAACAATGTGCCTATCTCGGTGTATAAACATACCTACACTTAAGACAGACGTTGATGTCGTATACGGATATCGTTTCAACTAGTAAACTTTAGCAAATACCGACAAATAACAAACCCTCCATTTTGAACAACAAAAAGAAAATGTCTAATGCAAGAATATCATAAGAATGATGGTGTGATAACAAGTTTTCAAATTTTTAGACATAGACAAGACGGTGGACTGAATTATAAGAAAGATGATAGGAATTCATGCATCAAAGTGTATGTAGGCGTGTGTGTATGCAAAATCTGACTGTCATTGTACTCAACCTACCGAAGTAGTCTTTATTATTTGATACTGACATCAACAAACAGTAGTGTTAAAACTTGTTATTATTATTTTTCAATCTTATTATACTTTTTACCCTAGAATTCCTTATAAATATTTTTGTTTCGTACAACGTTTTATTTCTACTTATATTAATATGAAAAGTAAATTTGTGAGAAGACTGCTTGGTCTACACTGCATCATATTATTATATTATTATCATTATATATTATTGTTTCCTTTAGTTCCTAGATGAACATAGGTCTCCATTGCGCTCGGTTCTCTGTCAACGTTTTCACCTGGCTCCACGTCTGCCCATACATTCTTATCTCCTCTTTATATGACCTATTCCATGTCACCCCACTCTCGAACTGATGAATAACTCGCTGCTTCCCGTTCGGTTTCCACTCCAGTGATGGCCTGGCTTGTGATGTCACTTCATGGTCTGCTTTTTCAGAGTATGGCAAACCCACCTCCATTTCTTCCTGCAAATTTGTTGCACAATTGGTTCCTACTGGGCTGCTCCGCTTCCACATATCCTCCTTACTGCGTTTTTCTGACTGGCCATCTCATTTTGAGTGAAGTATTGAGCGAAGACAGCTGTTGATGAAGTTGTGTAGTTTGCTCGAAGTGCCCTTACCTGACGCGCCAATTCTCTGATCCATATAGTGAGTAGCACTGACTTCACATTCGAGTTGAAAATCAGAATTTTGTTTTTGATTCTGAGTGCTGTTGCTCTCCACACAGACTTGAGAGTAATGAAAGCTTGATTTGCTTGATTCCCGACCTTCGCTTTGATATCCTCATCAGTTCCGTCTAACTGTAGTTGAAAAGATGCTTTCCAAGTCGGTAGGTAAATGAGGTTGCTTCTCTCACACTTCTCCCATTTATGTTGGTTAATGTCTGTTGTTGTTGCTGTTGCTGTTGACCAGAAATCTTCATCACCTTCGTCTCCGCCTTCTCTATGTTTACCTGAAGTCCTATCTTCTCTGGATACATCTTCTGCCAACTTGTTGCTTTTCACTTACATATCTTCCAGTTTGTGCGAAATCAGACATATATCATCATCATCATCATCATCGGCAAAGTCCAGATCCTCCAAGTTTTTTGTGTGGGTCCTTAGTTTGCCTGTTTCCTCGCTGCTCGCCACTGTCTGTCGCATTATGCAATCTACTGCAATCAGAAAAATCATTGGCGATAGTAGGCAGCCCGCCTTGTCTTACTCCCGTTTTCACTTCGAAGGATTCCTTGAGTTTTCTGTTGTGGATTACTTGTCATGCAATATTGTCGTATAACTGTTGGATGAGATGTGTAATTGTTGGCGACACTCCGTAATAGCGAAGTAGTTGCTAATTTGTATCCTATTACATCATATTTTTATTCTGATTACACTAGTCAGAGTTACTACACCGAGTGTTACAGAGGGATGACACACTGAAATCTTTTTCCCTTTAACAGACTGAAGGTTGTTTATGTCTTAACCCTTTTACTGAAGACGTATTATACCAGGAAATACTGAATTTAAACTTTATTTATTTAGTGGTTTATCTCAATTCTTCTTCTTCTTATTATTATTACATTAGCGATTCCTTAAGTTAGGAATAAAACATAAGACTTCGGAGAGACATCTCCATTTCAGTCTGATTTATCGGTCTGCACAGTTGCTTATGACCTGTAATTTCCTTCCTCCAATCAACACCCAGGCCTCATGGCGTGGTGTGTGATGGATGTCACTCAGTGGTCTGCTCAGCTTATCTCCAATCCATCTCTAGTTTTTTCTACATGTTTGTTGGGTGATAGGTCCTCAGTTGATTCACTGCCAGGGTTCCTTGTTTTGCTTATCTATTCTACCTGACGAACTGATCTTCAGTATCGAGTAGTAAGTGGTCTTCCGGAAAAGGTTTTCTCTGAAGCATCAAGTCTATGAACTATACAGTATGGCTAATCTAAGATTAATGCTTAAAAATTTTCATCTTGTCCTTAATCATGAGTTCAGAGAATTTTCACACCAATTTCACGGTAACAAATATCTTTTAAGATGAATATACTTTGTTTGATATTGTTTCGTTGACTAAAGAGTAAGAGTTGAAGATATTGTCTAGAAGGACACTAGAAGCTTCATAATTCATCCATCCAGCTTATAAATATACAACAACATCAGAAACACACTCCCTTGAGCTACTTATTTTCTCCCCTCTCATTTAAAAAGCCCTGTATATTTATATATACAAGTTATATTGCAGTTGAAAATGAAATTAAAACAGAAATCATATCTGCATTTATCATGTCACTCAATGAAATTTACAAATGTCTAATCAGAACTTTGAAAGATACTATCACTGAAACAATAGGGATAACTCTTGCTCTTTGAGAATGTTATTGATGAGGGCTGATTATAGTCAACATTAGTAATTATTACTATCTTTTGCCTAATGGATCAATTTTGAAATGAGAGACTGGAATGTATCGTAACCTTAAGAAATATATACCTTAATTTCACCTGCAGTTACATATTTCATCGTTTTTTAATTCTAATCATTGCCTTGCTATTTTAACACCCGTTTGTCATACCAAGTTGTTATCAGCAAGTTTCATTGACACATTGAAAAAAAAATCAATAAAGAACTACTATTTTTACCATCTAGGAAACAATATCTGGATAAACGTTATCATAAATCACCAGAAGACAAATTCCCCTATCCATTACCGACATCATGGGATTATGGCTGGCATTTATCTGATTGGATTAGAAAAGATTCAGTTAAAAAATCACCATATGGTCGTGTGTGTATTGTGAATAGTACATTTTACAATCGTACTGGTATTCAATTCGGTAGTAAAACTGAACCGAAACCATGGTACGGATAAAAAACAAACAAACAAACAAAAACAACAACAACAAGAGTTTATGTTAAGTCTTAAAGTTTCAATAAACTTTGTATGAAGAAAAAATATGCGTTTTTACTGACTTGCAGTATTTATGATTTCATGTTAAAATTTTGGACTACTAATGGTGATGTTTAGTTTTCAGGCTGTCGACTGTGGTGTTGTAGCTCATCACTAAATGCACAAGTTCAAAGACTACCAGTGCTTAGTCGCTACTGTCGTTTCTGTTAAAGATTCTATTTTGGAAGTAGAAACTCTGAAAGATAATAAATACATCGATATGCCTAGAAAGCCTACTGAAGTTTGTAAAGAAATTGAAGGGAGATAGTAGGATTTTGAAAGTATGTAGGACTACAATAAAAAATTAATATTGAGTTAAATGCAGCCCCCAGATTCATGTTAATATTACTGAACAAGTCCATTCAAAATGACTTCTGTTTTGTCGAGGTTTCAATTGTATATAATAATAATAATCTGCTTTATTCCAAAAACAGTACTTATAATTCAGAATGGATTTCTCTGCATTTGTCATAATATTAAATCTAATTTACTCAAAATATCAATGAAAGTAACCAGAGGAATTTATCCACATTAACAGTAGAAATAAAGTCAAAAGTGTGCCAAGTATAAAATGAGAACAATAACTCTAATAATAATAATAATAACAGTGCGTTTGCTTCAAACAATATTGTCGATACAGAATGGAAACTTTAGCATGTTACAGAGTATTGGATCGAATGTTCGTTCTCTTGAAATAGCATGGTGAAGGGAAAAACAATTAATATCAATTATTACGCAGCTTTAATAGTATTTACACTTATGAAAAAATAAAACAAAAAATAACGAGAGGACTATAAATATAAGAAGAATAATAACAATAAGGTTTGGTGGAATAAGGATGGAGAAAATAGTCTATTTACTGGTGCAAAGAAGGTAAGTTAGTTAGTTCATGCCTGGCACTATTTTCACCACATAAAGTACGTGCCAAATGTGGTATGACATAGTTTCTTTAAGCGATCCAGGAATCCAAAAACATTACTTATAATACGAATATAACAACTCCAACAGTGGTGTGAACACGGGCAGTAATTTGGCTCGAAATATTATCAATAACAAAACTTATGATTGTATGTAAACTATTAAAATATAATTATACTTTATTTGATCTAATCCACAATGCTCAAACGTTTTACTGATATTAATACAGAATGGAATTCTCAGCATTTCTCACAACACCTTTGCATCTGATTAACTCAAAATATAAATAAAATTGAAACAAAATTAACTAGAGGAATTTGTCCACATTTACGATATAAAGTCAAAAATATTCAGAGGACAAAATGAGAACAATAAATACAATAATAATAATAATAATAGTAATAACAGTGAGTTTGTTTCAAACAGTATTGTCGATTCAGTTTGGAAACTTCAACATGCTATAGATTATTGGATCTAATGTTCTGCTGATATAGTTCAGTAAGGGGAAATACAAAACTAACAGTTATAACACAGCTTGAATTATGTTCACACTTGTGAAAAATAAATAAATAAATAAAAAAAAAGTTGAGAGGATTATAAATATAAGAAATACAATAACAATAAAGTTTGATACTGTAAAGGTGGAGGAAATGGTTTATTTAGTAGTGCAAAGAAGGTTAGTTAGTTCATGCATGTCTGACACTATTTTCATCACAACAAGTACGTTGCACCAAATATGGTATAGTGAATATTTTATAGTTGGACGTACGTGCATTAATTCTTCTGAAAAGACTTCTTAATTTACCTGAGGAGACACAAGGTTGGAGCTTCGGGTAGAGTGGTTACTCAGAGTCTGACGAAATTCCTTTAGCAAATTTGTTGCATGACATTAGATGCCTATCAGTGACAATGTCAACGATACGGCCCAATGGGATATCACTCGCCCTATCTACCTACTGACAGTCAGTCTTCAGAGTTCTGTGAAATATGACATAGTCTTTTTTAGGCAATCCAGGAAAGAATAATAGTGAACAATAAAACAAATAGATTAGATATGAAATTTGACAAAGTGTAAGGGGAGAAGGTGTTGATTTATTTTTGTGTACCGTTACTTCTTATTGTGAAATTTCAGAGGAAATATTTTTTTGGAAATCGCCAAGACATGGGAAAACCAGGACCGATCAGAAGAATGAATCAGTCCAATATGTTTTACGTCACACTTGGTTTCTTTATCACTGTCATAAATTTTACAGCTGTCATAGGAATTAACAGTTCCATTTAATTTTCTTTTATATCAGAAATTGAAATTAACAGTCTGATATTTAGAGCTATTTAGTTTAAGACCATTAGAAAGAGACCATTTACGGACTCTTGATAGAAAGCTCTTCTTCGTGGTATGGTCTAACGGGAATTTGACAGGCACTGAAATAGTTAGATTGTCAACATACTTAACAAAGTTCATTTCATCAGAGTTCGGCAAGTCATACAAGCAGAAATAAAACTGAAGACGAGAAAGAAGAGTATCTGGAGGGATACCAGCCTCAGCAATGTAGTGGAAAACTTTCACTGACATACAGTGTACAGCTTTCTTCTGAGAAATAAGAATGCAGCCAGTTGACAGCCCAATACTCAGGTTGAGCTTCAGCAAGCTTATTTAACAAAACATCCATAGGTATTGAGTCAAAAGCAGATGTTTAGTGTAGGAAGGCGCAGCGAACCAATGTAGCCCTTTGGTCTAAACTAGAGACGATGTTATGCTGCAGGACTGCAACTGCGTCTAAAATACTTCTACTATGTTTGTGGGCGAATTGTTTGGAATAGTTAAAGACTTAAAGTGAAGGTTGGAGATTAAATAAGAGTAACTTTTCCATAGTTTTTAGAAAAGGAGAGGTTAAAGCAATATGTCTAAATGTGAAGCATGGTGCAGTAGATGACTTAGGTATAGGCAAAATTTTAATATCTTTCCAAACGGCTGGTGCGACATTTTCGGAAAAAGATTCATTAAATACGTCACTGAGACGATAACATAAGATTTCTGCACATTTTTTAAGGATAACGCTAGGCACACCCTCTTGACCTAGGCTTCAAGACGGTTCAGAGACTGGAGACATTTTAGAATGTCATTTGTATTGAAACCAGGAAAGACAGGAAAGAGGTTTTCATTAACACTTGTGACACTATTGATGGTGGGCTGCGTTAAAGGTTTTGAGGACATACTCTGAATCAGATTTTTCATCACAAATTATGAACGTATCGTCTATGTATCTCCTGTATAAGGGCAGTTGACGCATCAAAGGATTCAGGGTGTTGTTTTCAAGACTCGTCATAAGGCAGTCGGCTAGAAGTGGACCGCGAGGAGATCCATGGCTACACCATCTTTCTGCACATAGAATCGTTCATTGAAATTGAACTGGATGTTAAACGTACATCTGAGAAATAGTTCTTTCAGGTAGTTTATAGGATGTGCAACTTCTAGGTTGTTGGTTTCGATATAGTCACAAATGAAGCTGGAATAAATGGAGAATCTAGTCACATGATTTAGGTGAGAATCATTCATCCATTGAATGTCATACTTAAAATACATGCATAACTATTGTTTAGGTTTAGATCAAGAAAACAAGTTTCATTCATTGAAGCTTGTGGTAAAGAAATACCCACTTGGCAAAGGTGCCAATGCAAAGTGATCTCGTAGTAAATATAAATTATGCCAATTAGACGAAAGAAACTATTCATAGCATTTTTTTTGAACTACTTATGAAGACGTCTGATTTGCAGTATACTTTAGCAAAAAAAAACGATTTCTAGGTCACGAATTCACACAATTCCTGTTACATTTACTTGATAAATATGAACGTAACAGGATGGATGATCTAGCGATCTTTTGTACTGGAGGAAGGGGTAGTCAGAGACAACTCTCAGATATCCGAAGTCTAAGCATGCGACTTGAAATTTTCGACAGTTACAAGTTGATGGGCTTGATTCATATAAAGATAGTGTGTGACGTAAACAAAATGAAAATGAGACTGGGAAGGAATTCATGGTTATTTTGACTAAAAAGGAAGTATGAATTAGTCATAACTTCACTTTTTATCTATATTAGTTTTTAAATAGTAACAATAATAATAATAATAATAAATTAATTGACATTTGAATAGCTGTTAGTGTTAGGCAAAATTAAGACAGTGATGTTGTTAAAAATTCATTTTCATAAGCTTCCGATGTAAACTTTAATTTACAAAGAATTTGGATGATTTTAAAAGCTTTTTATTTAGTCTATTTTGAATTTTAATCCTTTGCTTGAGTGAATCATTATGGTTAGATCAGTGAAAACCAGCCAGTGCACTTTAATTGTTGAAGAAAGTTATCTGAATGTTAGTTGATTTTCTATAGTAAAGGATAAATGTTATTATTACCATAAGCCAAAGGTGGAACATATGGCTTCAACCTCCATCTCCAATTCCTCCTGTTCTCTATGGTCTTATTTAGCTGACTTCACAGCTGTCGATCAGTTTTTATCTCTTCTTTACACAGTCATCTCAGTGTAGATTCATTCTATCCACGTTTCCTTCAGCATATTCGTTGTGTGATAGATACCTGGTTGATTGGTTGATTCCTAGAATTAATTGTAACTGAGAAAAGGCTGTCTACTATCGCCAATGATTTTCCTGATTGCAGTAGATTGCATAATGCGACAGACAGTGGCGAGCAGCGAGGAAACAGGCAAACAATGGACCCACACAAAAAACTTGGAGGATCTCGACTTCGCCGATGATGATGATGATATATGTCTGATTTCCCACAAACTGGAAGATATGCAAGTGAAAAGCAACAAGTGGCAGAAGATGCATCCAGAGAAGTTAGGACTTCAGGTAAACATAGAGAAGGTGGAGACGAAGGTGATGAAGATTTCTGGTCAACAGCAACAGCAACAACAACAGACATTAACCAACATAAATGGGAGAAGTGTGAGAGAAACAACCTCATTTACCTACCGACTTGGAAAG